AGAACTAACAGAAACTAAACTGTTTATAGATTTGTATCATGGAGAATCTAATTTCTAATCTTTATTTTAAGTCGTATTTAATAGTATATCTGATAACAAATGATGGCGCTACTAATATTCTTGTGACAGATTTCTGCTGGTCCTGTAATGGAATAGAAAGGTTTTCTGGACACAATGAATCACATAGCGACTAATAGGCGCCAGTGTTGTGGTCAAGACCACCTAACCCAAGACCAAGACAAGACCAAGACCAGAGTGTATCGAGACCGAGACAAGACCAAGACCAGCGCCCCACGCTACATGATACGATAAAATGTGGAATATGATCAAAATTACTTCTCAAATTGATCTGAAATATCCATATTCCTATAAAACACCTAGATATTAAATACTTAATAAATTTAACCAATATTAAAAGCAGGACATACTCTTTGTTCTGCTTTGCTTCCATCTCTGTGCTACGATCCGCGGTGGTCTCGTGGCATCCCTAAAAAGATAACGCCCTGGGTGTTTGTCCATGTTTGTCCATATTGCTCATGTCAGAAACCACTACTGTCTGCACCATTAAACTGCACCATCGAGGTGCCCTGACACTCCACTATGAACACTGACCAAGGAGCAGCAAGCAAGAACTAACCAATCACAATGTTGGGGGGTTTTATGATTTGCACAAAACCTGTAAAGAACCAGACACAAAACCAATGAGGGTTTATGACTTCCTTTGCAAAGGGAGAGATCCACAACCTCTAATCCGCTCAGGATCAAAGATTGGTGAGCTCTACTCTCCTCTGCTTGGGAACTGGCTTTTATTATGATGACCTTTTTCAGTAGAACAATGCTGAGATAACAAAACAGATGGACCCCGTGAGTAGGAAATTACATTATAGGTAACTGGTCAGAGTCAGTTAGGTAACTGAACACATGTAGATAAAACACTCAAATAAAATGATAAAACAATGATTAGTTGATAAAACAATGATTAGTTTAACCCAACACACAAGACGCTCACCGTGACTGTTTTCACCCTCTCTCCCGCTACATGAAGCCAGGTAGTCTGACACCATGGCAGACTACCATTACAACTGCCACTTTGAACGAAAACAATCAAAGAGCA